GAAACTTAATGAGCATTTTCACATGTGAAATGTTCCAACTGCCACATGAAGATTCACATGTAAAATTATATCGGTGAATTTCGCGTAAAAGCAGTAACACTCAACCACAAAGAAATGGCCCATACAGACTTCTAAAACAGAACACTGGCAGTCTTAAAAAGTAGTGAAAAAAAAGAAGATTAGTGCATACAACGCGTGGGATTATATATATATATAGTCACTGCTATACTATAGTTACCCAACTTATACACACTTTTCATTTGTAAACTAGCTAATTCTTTAAATTGCGCAGTTCATATTGCGTAGGCCAGAGAATGTTGAAGAACAGCAAAGTAAAAATTGTTGTTTTACAAACGGAATAAGTGGGTGATTATAACTTCGCTGGACGTTGTCCCCATTGTCATAATAATTTTATAATCAGCAATATTGAATGGTGCAATATCGGACGTTGTTCTCTAACTTCCGTAAAAGGAGGCGGCAACGGAAATTATGTTTGTCCAGTATGAAATAAACGTGAATAATAATAATAATAACAAAGACCTTACACAATACACAAGTTCTTCGCAAATTAATCAGTGTCAGTTTTTTATATGCATTACGCCTGGTTTTCGTATGCTCTTAAACATTGAGCCACGATCTTTCTGATCACCCGAAACACAACATTTTCGAACTGAACATTTGCGGGTGCATGATTATAACTAGAGAATACTTATGATTTATATGTGGTATACAGGTATATTTTAAACTGACCGTTGCGAAATATCGTGACTCTATTTTTACGACCATTACAAGCATATGGAAACCAGGCTAAAGAATACTAACAACATGACATCAGCATCCACCATCGAAATAATGATCGATAGCTCAACCAGGGTACATTTTACATAAACTTATTAATCTGATTACTAAATATCAGATGAAAGCTTCTAAATAGCCTGTAATTCAATTAAAAGAAGAAAAGAGCAAAAAGGATTTGTTATCATCGTCATACATACCCCGTAGTGACGTCACGTGCATCAGGTGTCCCAGGAAATTTGCCCCCCCCCCAAAAAAAAAAATTTGCCCTCCCCCGGGCCAAATTTCCTAGGAAATTTGGCGCCCCCTCGAAAACATAGCTTACTTTATCGCTATAAGCTCGGAAATCGTGAAGGTTCTTCTAAAACCAAGATCCTAAAAGTGTTTGTCAGTATTTATAGTTAGTTTGCATAATTTATTTGTATCGAAATTCTTCATTGCGGCCAAGAGCTAAAAGTTTGAAGGAAAGCGTAATCAAATAATGCAATCATGCCAGACACATCACACTGCATGGATAACTGTAGAGGACAACGTTAATGCATGATGACTTAGCTTTAAGCTAAGAACACGAAACGATTTTTAGAGATAGGAATTTCTAAGATATTACAAGTTATTTAGATCTATAAATTCAGTCACATAGTATAAAATTAGTCAGAACAAGACGCTCTGCGGAGCGTTAACTCGCTGGGGCTATACAAATACGCACATTACTGTACATGATCACACATCAACATACAGTACACAGCTATTTCACTTTTTAGTCGAAAACGAGCGCGAAAGGCTTAACACAGTTCTAAAATGCGGTAGGCCCTACCCTACAAGTAAAGTTATATTTAGTACACTACATCCTTTTCTTCAAGACTGTCAGCCGCCAGTTGGTCCGTACGCTAGGATTAAACTGCGCTTTAATTTAAACTATTTTTTAGATAGATAGATATTTTATTAAAATAGATCATTGCAGCCCCGAAAGCTGAATTACGATCATTTTTACAATATTGATTCTAGCAAACTATCATATAAACTTTAAAATTTAACTTATTAGTTCTGTTCGGTATTATTATAAAAATTCTAAAATATTAATATTAATACTACTAATGTACATTAGTTCAACTTCTAAGAATAGTCGAATCTATTGTTATTATTTACGTTAATAATAATTATAAGAATTATTCATTATAAAACTATTCTTCAATCTGTTTGTTTTGACAATTGGTAATTGGAAGAAACGTTTTCGTCTAGTACCAATATTACTATTGTTTCTGGGTGGTAACAGATTATGTAGTTTATGATTTTCGTTCTGCACAACTTGTTGGAAGAGAAGCTCACTTGCCACCTCTCTTCTTTTACGTAGAGAAGTTATTCCGGATATCTCTTGGGCCCGGATGTAGGAAAGATCAGGATACAGAATGCGCAGTGCCCGCTTTTGTAGTCTTTCTAATAGATCTGACAAGTACTGTGGCAGTGCGTTGTGATAGACAGGGCTCGCGTATTCAGCAACGGGACGTATACATGTTTTATAAAATAGCAATAAATCATGGATCGGTAATTTTGCTCGTTTGAGTTGTCGAAGGAAATAGAGACGCGATGCTACTTTCTTGCAGATCATGTCTATATGTAAGTTCCACTTGAGATCGCCGGAAACAATGGTACCCAACAATTTAGCTGATGAAACAATTTCTATTTCCTTTCCGTTAATGGTGATAGGGTCCATTAAAGAATCCGCCTTTGAAAATGTTATTCTCAGCTCCTTACACTTAGATTCATTCAAATGGAAATTGTCCTCTTCTGTTTGAGTCACGAAATCATCCACATGCAATTGCATAGAGCTTGCTTCATTTTTCTTCACTATTTCGGACATGGTGGAATCATCGACATATTTCCATAGATCTAAATCATGTATCTTCACATCGTTAATCATAATCAAGAACAACCAGGGGCTAAGTTTTGTTCCTTGTGGCACCCCGGCACGTAACTCAGCCCACTCAGAAAAACAATCGCTGCTCATCTTCACTCTTTGCTTTCGATTTGATAAAAAATCTAAAATCCAGCGCATTACAGATGTTGGAAAATCATACGACGAGAGCTTACGTACCAAAACGTTATGGTCAATTAAATCGAATGCTTTCCGAAAATCGAAGAGCATTACTCTTGCTGTAGATCCATTTCCATCAGTAGATTGGAGCCAGGTGTGGACCATGTTGATTAGTGCAAAGGTCGTGCTAGAATTAGGCACAGTTCCGTACTGCTGTGGATCGACATTTTTTAAAACAGCTGGTTTAACGTACCTTTCAACGACATATTGTTCTGCAATCTTTGATAAAACTGGGGTCAACGAGATGGGTCTTAAATGTTTATTTACGTCTTGTACCGGTTTTTGTTTTGGCACAGGAACTACATTAGCTTCTTTCCATGGTGTTGGTAATTTTCCTTCACGATAAGAACTATTTAGTATATCCGAAACTGCCGAGGCCAATACATCTGCGTTCTCTTTCAAAACCCACACCGGCATATTGTCAGGACCGCTAGACTTGCTGGGGTTAAACTTTGACAATTTGATAAATACTGAGTAGGAGGATACAACAAGGGGATCGTGATTATCATGATTATGTTGAAGATTATTTTGGAGGGGAGTATAGTCGTGCATGGGGGAAATGAAAGCTTCGTTAATGGTATTTGCTAAACTCACTTCGTCCAATGCTCCATATTGATGTTGAAGAGACTTAGCAAGGTTACCATGTGTGGAGCTGGACGGGGAACAACCACTCAGTTTTTTAACTTCATTCCACCATGAAGATGGCTTGCATTTTTTTAAGTTCTCCACTTTTGCTTTGTAATATTTGCCACGGCATTTCTTACGTTCTCTGTTAACCCGATTCCTCAGTCTACGAAACTCATACTCGTTACTGCTAGCTAGTGCTTTTTGTCTCTTTTGGATTAACTCTTTTAAAGTCGATGTAATCCAGGGTGGTTCTGTCGAGTGAACTGTTCGGGTACGAGTAGGTAAAATGAAGTCAAGGCCAGTTGTAATAATTTCCTGCAGGAGTAGAGTTTTCTCTTGACAGCTATCAACAGCACCAATTAGAGAATTGACATCTGCTTGTTGTAGATAGGTCGCCATTGCTGCACGTTTACTAGGACGCAAATCTCTTGATCTAATTTTGATCTTGACACCATTCATGGTACATCTTTCACGAGGTTGGATTTCAATAGACAGATGATCTGACAAACCAAGTGGAGGGTGTTTGATGGGGGATTGATAAAACTCGTTGATGTTGGTAAGAATTAAATCAAGTGTGGCTACACCACGCGTTGGGAAATTCACAATTTGTTTTAATTTAAAGCTATTTTGCAAACGCGTTGTTTCTAAGCGATTAAAATCCCCAGCAATCACAACACCGCAATTACTATAACGCGATTCAATATACGATAAACACTTGGTTAAATATTCTCTCATAGCAGGGTCATTAGCGCGTGGTGGGTGGTAAATGGTTCCGACAACAATGGAGTTGTAGCCTCTTGGGAGTCGGGATGGGGTCATTTTTATCCATAACGCTTCAAAGTCAGCTTCTTCTAGGTCTTCTAAAACTGTAAATTTGAGAGTGTTTTTTATAAACATACATACGCCACCATGTATCGCGTCAATTCTGTCTCTGCGAATTATGTTATACCCTTGCAATGCGACAGCATTATCATGGATGTGACTTTGAAGCCACGTTTCTACAATACAAAGAAAGTCCAGATTTGCATCCTTTATAATACAATGTAGTTCGTCAATCTTGGGCGCCAAGGACATAACATTAGATAGGAAAAAAGATGGGACGTATGCCCTCTGCGAATCTCTTACTAGTTCAGTAGAGCCACTAGGTTTCGATGCAACAACTCTTATACAGTTCGAGAGATTACGATATCTTGTAAAGATTGAATTCGACAGAGTTCTTCTAGATTCGCTCGGCTGAACAGCATGGATTGGATATTTCTGTTGAAGCCATGACTTTAGAACACCGTATTTGTAATGAAATCACTCTTTATTTTCACGTTTATTACAAATGTAGTTTTGTACAGTAAGTTGCTTTCACGAGGAAGTTCAACTAACAACACAACAATCCCATCATGCATTTGTCTCTCAGTATTACGTCATACTAATATTTGGATAACATACAGTTTTATATTGAACTCAACACCCTCACTTGTTATTAGAATATAAACTAATTACCACAACCGAACACGATACTTTTAAAATTATCTAGTTTACATTTTGTGGGTGGCTTTGTTAGGATATCAGCTACCATATCTTGGGTAGGACAATATACAATATCGATCATGCCTTTAACATACATTTCACGTACAAAGTGGTACTTTATGTCAATATGCTTAGAACGTTGTCTGTTAACTGGGTTCTTACTTAGTGCAATTGCCCCTTGGTTATCAACACTTACCTTCATACTCTGATGTACTTTCTTATACATACCGTTTAACAATTGAGTTAGATACAAACACTCTTGAGCTGTATTTGCTAAAGCTACATATTCAGCTTCGCAAGTGGAAATGGCAACCGTTGGTTGCTTTCTCGACTTCCATGAAATCAGTGGTCCTCCTTCAGTTAGAGTACAACAGTAACCTGTAGTACTTCGCCTGTCTTCCAGGCAAGAGGCCCAATCTGAATCACTATAAGCAGTGAGCTGCAAGTCAGCATCAGATTTCTTAAAGCAGAGTTTATAATCCACGGTACCCTTTAGATACCTTAGGACATGTTTGGCAGCAATTAAATCTCCCGTTCTGGGGTTTGACAGAGTTTGAGACAGTCTGCTTACAATCCAACTTAAATCAGGCCTTGTACAGGTCATGGCATAAATTAGGCTTCCTATCATTTCTCTATACTGTCTGGCGTTGGTCAATTCACCACAGTTAAATTCTAATCGTTGCTCACATGGGGTTAACCTGGGCTTGCAGTCTATCATTCCAAATCTCTCTAGTATTTTAAGAATGAATCTTTTCTGATTAATTTTTATTTCATCCTTGCTTTGCTTAAAATCCATTCCAAGGAAGAAAGTGATTCTACCTAGATCTTTCATCTTAAATTGTGTCTTCATACTTTCTTTAAATTCTTCCATTAACTGCATACTATCTGAAGCTATGATTAGGTCATCAACCCAAACAATGACGATAACAATTTTATCATCAACTTGTTTCTTATATACACAGTGATCAGCATGGTTTCTGACAAAACCGTCATTTCCTAAATGCTCGTGTAACAATATGTTCCAATTTCTACCTGATTGTTTTAGACCATATAGCGATTTCTTTAGCCTATATACTAA